AAAAGAAGCCAGGCACAGATAAATTCTTTATGAACATTTTCTCATAAAATTTGCATAACAGCCCAAGAAGTAGGTTTAATTAGAAGCATTTTTCAGATTAGAAAATCGAGGTCCAAAAAGTTGAGCAGAGTTTGGTAGCCCGTCTAAGTCCAATGAGATGGAAGATAAATATCCTTGGCAATCCAACCCAGGCTTGCATTTGTGGGATAATTCCTCCACTTCCAAGTGTGGCTACTTTGAAAGAAGCAACACTCATCTGAGGGTATAAATATGGCGTTGAAAGCGTCTGGTACAGACGCAGTGGAGGATTCAACAATTTAGCTGTTGCATTAATGCAAAACATTGCACAGCATTTCCATACATCCTTACACATGGTTGTGTTCAGATACATAGTTTCAAATCTACACATACACACATTGAAAGGGGGATTTAGGAACCATATGGAAGGGGGTAAAAAAGACTGATTCAAAGCCTTGCCAAGTTCATAATTTTAGAATTGGGAAGGTAATTCAACTGCAGTAGTCAGCGTTCTCCGAGAAAAACAAAAGAAATGGAATATAGATAAACATATATAACAGAGATTTATTATGGGAATCGGCTCCCGTGGTTTTGGAGGCTGAGAAGTCCTAGGATCTGCATTTGCAAGCTGGAGACCCAGGATAGCAAGCGGTGTCATTCAGTTCAAGCATGAAGGCCTGAGAATTTGGAGGCTGTGAGTGTAAGTCCCAGTCTAAGCCTGAGAGCCCAAAAACCTGGAACAGTGATGACTGAAGACAGGAGAAGACGGATGATTCAGCTCAAGTAGGAAGAGTGAATGGCTCCAATTTTTCATTCTATTCAGGCCCTCCGAGGAATCGCTGATGCCCACCACATTGGGGAGGGCCATCTGCTTCATGCAGTTCACTTATTCAAATGCTGATCTCCTTTGGAAGCATCCTCGCAGACACACTCAGAAGTAGTGTTTTACCAGCTCTCTGGGCATCCTTTAGCCCAGTCGAATTGACATAGAAAATTAATCATTACATATTTGCTTAGTAAACTTTAAAACATTCCCATAAATTACCGGACAGCTCCTTTTCCCCAGGGTAGATCTGGAATCTAAGAGCAGATGACCTCTACCAGAGGAATATTTGAGAATGACTTAAAACTTTTTCTGAAATCTGGTGAATCATAATGAAATGGCTCCAGCCAGCCATGCTGTCATGCAATGGTTCCATTTCCTGCCTTGTTCATCCCTGGCTCAGCTCTGGAACACTGGCATTTATCTCACCAATGTCCACATGACTTAGTGTCTCAGGGAATTTGGACACATGGATCATCTATCTATTGCACTCTAGTTCATGAATGGCTACAGTAATTCATGAATGACACATATACAACTGATCTATAAAGAACTCTTTCGGCACCTTGAAAGAAGCCCCATCAAGGAACAGAAGCATACTCTACCACGGTGTGACCTTCTTTAGGAAGTACAGCATCACACTGACAAGCACAGATTCCAGAACCAGAATGCCTGCATTCATTCAAAAGCTAGTGAATGACTGAGTGAATGAACAGTTGTGTATTACGCTGAACAATATCTTTACTACTACTATTCTCCTTCTCCTCCTTTTCATTTTGCTGCGTTTGCTACTGTTATTTGTATCAAAGTTATATGCAAATAGTTCAAAGAGCCAATCGTTTTGCAAGTTTTGTTACAACAATCCCTATCACTTTCTGTTACAAACACATTTTGTCACAATAGCATTAATCCTATCACTTTCTCCCCCATTTATCCTCTATCCACTCATCTCTTCCAGGTTATAATTTTGGTATCTAACTCCTTATCTCTAAATGACAGACTTCTAATGACTCCTTCACTTTTTAACTTCAGGCTCTCCCTGGAGACTGGACTTCCTACTAGGGAAGATAAAGATTTAGCCATCTTTCTCTAATCCCAGGAGACTCAGTCATCCTTCCCATTTCCCCAGTTTCTCAATGGAGTATCATTGAGTTTTTGGTTAGATTTTCAGGGTTTAGGTGATAGGACTAGGTATTATATCCAGGGTTGACCCATTTAGTAAGCTGTACTCTATGCAGATGTTGTCCTGTGCAACATTTTCCTTCCCTAAAATTAATGATGTTATTTTTACTGAGTTTTTTCCCCCGAACCTCTCATAACTCCACTTCAGATTCTTTACCAGCTAGCTAAATAAATCTCTCAAGGCCAGGTGCATCAGGAATTCTATCAGTTCACTTTTCCTGAAGAAGTCTCTCCCAGGGTCTCTGATCCACACTAATCAGAACTGGTCATGGCATACATGTGAGGCACAACTGACACCCCTTCAGCATCATCCTGGAGACTTCCTATGCCTACCTGATTTGCTGGAGTTCCAGCTTTCTGTATTCCATTTCTTTGTCCTCTTTGATTCATTCATTCATTTTGGAGTCCATCTCATTTTCCTAGTACTTGAGAAAAGGTATATGGGAGGACCACTTTTTGAAACCTGGAACTGGGAAAAATGTATACCCTCACACATGGTTGAGTAGCAGGTCTGCACTGCCTTTGAGCATTTAAGAAACTCTAAACTGGCTGGGTGCTGTGGCTCATACCTGTAATCCTAGCACTTTGAGAGGCCAAGGTGGGTGGATGCTTGAGCTCAGCAGTTTGAGAGCACCCTGGGCAACGTGCTGAAAACCTGTTTTTACAAAAAAAAAAACCCCCCAAAATTGGACAGGGATGGTGGTGTGTGCTTGTGGTCCCAGCTACTTAGGAGGGCAAGGTGGGAGGATCACTTGAGCCCAGGAGGCTGAGGCTGCAGTGAGCCACGATCGTACCAGTGCACCCCAGCCTGAATGACAGCAAAACCCTGTCTCAAGAAACAGAAAACAAAAACAGAAACAAAAAAAATTTGAAACTATCCTGATTCTTCAGCCTCTATGACCTGTGGCTCTTCTCTGGAAGCTGATCAGATCTGACATTTGTTTTGGTATGTGTCTGTTTCTAGCCATTACTCTGTGCCCTTGGTAGGCTCTCTCAATATGGAAAATCATGTATTTCAGGTCTGGGAGATGGTTCTTTAATCGTTTCATTGATGATTTCTTCCTTTATGTTTTGTCTTTATTATTTCTTGTGTTGAAACCTGTGATTCTTTAACTTTGTTATGTTTTCTCTCATATTTTTTCTTTGCCTTTTTACTCTACTTTATAGAAAAGTATAAAGATTTTATCTTCCAACATATATTTTGAATTCTTTAAATTTCTGCTGTTACAATTTTGATTTATAAGAGCTCTGATGTTTGTTCACTGAATTTAAAAAAAAACTGCTATTTCGTGTTTCACACATGCAAAATTCTTCTTTTATCCTCTGAAAATACTGATCAGTTATTCTGATGTTTCCAGAGTCGCTGTTTAGCCTAAGGTTTTTTTTTTTTTTTTCCCCATTTTGTTGTTTGGATCTTGATGTTCAAGTTAGATGATTTCCTCGGATGTCTGATAATCCCATGCTGTCATTAACTTAATTGGGAGCTGATAATGAATGAATGGCGCTTGTTTACTATAACCTATACTCTAAGGTGTCCTGGAAAACCTTTGTTGGTACAATCTCTTTCTTTTGGGCTCAGTCACATTTCCATTGAAATCACTTGAGTTCCCTGCGTAGCCGATGAAGGCATAAAGGCACCATTCTCTCAGTTGTGTGTGGCGGGGAGGGTGCTGTCATTTCAGTATGTAGTACATATATGTTCAGATAATCTTGCCATTGTTAGTACAGTATCCCAACCCAGGCAGGCTTGATGTCACTTAGCCCAGACACTCTCCATTTTACCCTCATTAGCAGACTCACCTTTAGTTTTCTCTTTTGGGTAAGGAAGCGGGCAACCGCCCAGCTCTGTGGAGTTGGGAAACAGGTCTGTGTTTCTCAACACTACTTAAGAAGTTTTCAACAATTCACCTTATTATAGCCTCTTTTCACCAACTGCCCCCATCCCATAGATAACCAGGTGCTGCCAATTCCTGAGCTTTGGGGGAATTCTTTAGTATCTATTAGTTCTTGACACTCTCAGCAGCAACATTAAATTCAGTTTCTGGTATCCTAAGTCATCGATCACTTTACATCTTTCTTTCCACCCTTCCCCACTGTTTTCACTGAGGCCCCCTTCCAGTGTTCCCTATCTTCATAACTTTATCACTTTTAAAATATTCCTTACTGTCATTTAATGGAGTTTAAGAAGGGTAAAACGTAGACATATGTGCTTAATCTGTCATCTTTACCTAGAAGTTCAAGTCCTCATCTTTTCCAAATCTTCCAAAATTAGTTAAGTTACAAGGAGATCAACTAAGCACAGTGCAAGACCATGGGTAAACCAATTTGGAGCCCCTCACACCAGCTGCCTCTTCTGGGGTCAGTGAGAAGAGTCATGAATGACACCATCACTTTCTAAAGCCTTTCATTGAGTTCCAGCTTCTGCAGACAAAGTCACTTTGCTCACCTGTGTAGGACACGGCACTACTGTGCATAGCAGGGAGAAGCAAGGTCCCTGAGGAGGCTGCAGAAACTCAGAGCTTTTATGCAAAGCCCAGAGCCAGCACTGAGGCTTCCCAAGAGAAAGAAATCCTCCACAATGCACAGTACTGATTTCTAAGTACGGAAAAAAAGAGAGTAGAATCCCTCACATTCCCAACTCACTAGTATAATAATGCTACTATAACTTTTCTGACTTGAGACAAGGGGGACAGAATGTTCAAGCTTCCCCAGGCATACTGGAGCAGAGAAGATAAGGCCAGCCACCAGTTACGTCTCTAAGCAGTAGTGTATGGGTACAGGATGGGAGGTGTACGTGCTGGTTGTAAAGAACATAAAAAACATAGGAAGAAAAGTGTTCTGCTTTTTCCCCCCGATGCACTACCACTTTTAAACCATGTCAAGGACAAAATAATTCTCCCCCTACAACCGCAGACTGCTCATGACACCCTAGCCCATGGTGCCTCTGTCCCAGGCATCCCGCCAGCAGCCCAGTTACCTGTGGATGATGTGGTACCTCTGAAGATACTCCAGAGCCAGTGCCAGCTCACAGATGTAGAGTTTCACAGTCCCCTCTGTGAAATGCACATTCTGTTGCAGATGGTAGCGCAGGTCTCCTCCCAGGAGCAGGTCCACCACCATGAACATGTCCTCCTCGTCCTGGAAGGAGTACCTAGGAGCACAGAGGGACAGAGAACATTAGGGGTGGAGGCACCTTCAGCACCCTCAAGACCAATGCCCCCATTTTACAGAAGAGCAAACTGAGGCTCAGAGATAGGCACTGAGTTGCCTGAGTCATGGTGCTATGGGAGTGCAGGGGAAGGGGCAAAGGCTTTTAATTCTCAGGCTGCCTCCACATTTGTTGGGGTTTCCTCACTTCTTACATGGCAAAGGCAAACAGGAGTACCCAGCATTAGTTCCCAGGCTCTGGCAGATAGATGATAGTTTAACTACGACAGGACTCCAGCATGTTTCTTCATCTGTTTTTAGCAGGTGCTTTAATGAGATGGTGTCAGTTGTTTGCAGGAGCTAGCCTCCAAAGACACACTCCCCTCCCAAACACTCCCTCCATTCCCTGCACATGCATGCTGCTCCCCACATGGAGCTTGTTTCTGCAGCTCTTGAACGCAGTGGTGTTATGGGACATCCAAGTCTAGGCCTTAAGGGAACGGGCAGTTTCTAATTCTTGCCTCTTGGAACCCAGCCAGATCCAAGCCACATGAAGAGGACAAAAGAAGGAAAACCGAATCCCCAGCTGAGTTCCCAGTGACAGCCAGAGCCACTGCCCGCCACACAAATCAGCCGCCTTGAGCATTTTGATATTCCACTGCAGCCCCAGACAGCATGTGGAGCAGAAGAACAGTCCAGCTGAGCCCAGTTACCCCACAAAACATGAGATGATTAAATGGTGGTGTTTTTACACCATTAAGTTTTAGGGTGGTATTTTGTTTTGTTTTTGAAACAGTAGAAAATTGATACAGTACCAAATTCATTTTTAAAAAATGCACTTGGGCTTTCTAAGGACTGAAGAGCCAACATATAGAATCTGAGACTGTTGTTAAACAATTGTAGGATAGCATCACATCACAAAATGTTGTCAAGTTCCTTGTATGGAATCATGTAACATAATCACAGAATTGCAGAATATAATCATGGAAGCTTAGATCTGTGTCTTAGATCCTTAGATATTAGTCCGAATCAGTTAGGTCCTTCCCCTCACTTAACAGAACAGGAAACTGAGGCCCAGAGGGAAGAAGGGACTTGGTGAGTCAGTGTAGGTATGGGGACAAGAACCCAAATCCCCTGGCTCTCACTCGCTGCAGTGCCCTGATGACCATACACTGTTGGGATGTTGCTGTAATGCACCCCCACTGTGTTGCAGTATCCTGGGTGTGCAGCCCTGGGGAGGGAGCCTGATGTATGATTTGGTCCCAGGACAGGCAACAGAACTGCATGCTTACAGGACAGGGAATTCCAGGGTTGGAAGGACCTCTAATCCTCTTCAGCTCCTGTTGCAGAGATTGGGGTCCAGGCGAGAGGAGATGGCTGGACACAAGTCGTATCTATCCTCTTTGTGTGTCTTACCCGTTGTTTATAATTGTTCAGAAATTAAGGCAAGGAAGGGGGCTATTTATTGTGTCCCCAGATCATGAATTTACCAGGTGCTTACGGAACACCTACTGTCTGATAGGCACTGGGTTATGTGCTGGGGACACTGGGACAAAGAAACTGTCTTTGCCCTGGAGGAGTGCACAGTGCCCTGGGAGGGGCCAGGCAGACAGTCACTGACAATGCACGGGTGGGCATTCTAGGAGTCTTTCCAGGGTGCGGGGGAGTGTGGGAAGGGAGGAGGCCAGTGCTCCAGGAGGCGAAGGTGGGCGGGAGGAATTGGGAAAGGCATTGCCCATAAGGGGTTTACCGGGTCAGGAACACACAGGCTGTGTGACTCAGACAGAGAGGGAAACAGCATGACCCATGGCGGGAGGCTGGATCATGGCCTAGTACCCACAACCTGCACAAACAGCGGAGGGCCACCTTTGGGAGTCACCGTGGTGACATGGATGAGCAGGAGTGGAGTAAGATACAGTCCCTGCTCCTCATGGAATTAGAGACCGGAACAAACCTCAGAGATGGAATGAAGTGTGTACGGTCAGAGACTCACAGGAAGTGCTGCGAGGGTGGAGGGGGCAGGGCTGAAGCTGCCATCTTTCTCCTAGGCTGTTCTGTGCTGAGAGGCCCTTCTGCCTTTCTGGGCAGAGGCACCCAGAGTACCCAGGGGCAGCCCAAAGCCTCACTGCTGCCCAGACGTTCCCAATATTTCTGTCATAATTTCAAGGCACTATTTCTAGAAGTTTCAGTGAGAATATTTTTGTTTGCCCAGAAAGCTTTTATTACTGTTGATATTATTAATTATTATTCTCACTCTCACTCTCGGCTTCCCAAAGTGCTGGGATTATAGGCATGTGCCACTGAGCCCGGCCACCAGCTGGACTTTAGATCCGTTTCAGGGCCAGTATAACCTTCATTCATGCTCCTCCCCCTCAACAAAGAGGAGCGTGTAAGTGACACAGTCTCGCTGGGAAGCACAGGACTACCTTGTTTTACTGTACTTCACTTTCTTACAAATTAAAGGTTTGTGGCAACCCTGCCTCCAGTAAGTCTATCAGTGTCAATTTTCCAATAGCGCCTGCTCAATTTGTATCTCTGTGTCACATTTTGGTAATTCTTGCAATATTTCAAACAGTATTATATCTGTTATAGTGATCGATGATAAATGGTCTTTGATGTCACTATTACAATTGTTTTGAAGCACTGCAAATGGCATCCGTATAGCACCCAAAGCTTCATGGATAAATATTGGATGTGTTCTCATGCTCCATTGACCAGTAGTTTCCCATCTCTCACTTTCTCCTTGGGCCTTTCTATTCCCTGAGGCATAACGATATTGAAATTAGGCCAGTTAATAACTCTACAAAGGCCTCTAAGTATTCAAGTGAATGGAAGAATCACACATCTCTCACTTTACATCAAATATTAGAAATGATTAAGCCTAATGAGAAAGACATGCCAAATGCCAAGATAGGCTGAAAGCTAGACTCTTAACGCCATAAAGTTAGCCAAGTTATAAATGCAAAGGAAATGTTATTGAAAGAAATAAAAATTGCTACTCCAATGTACGCATGTAAGACATGAAAGCCAAACAGCCTTATTGCTGATATGGAGGAAATTTTAGTGGTCTAGATAGAAGATCCAATCAGCTACAACATTCCCTTAAGCCAAATCCTAATCCAGAGGAAGGCCTTAACTCTCTTCAATTCTGTAAAGGCTGAGAGAGGTGAGGGAGTTGCAGAAAAAGAGCTGGAAGCTAGCAAAGGTTGGTTCATGAGGTTTAAGAAAAGAAGCCATCTCCAGGACATAAAAGCACAAGGTGAAGCAGCAGGTGTTGATGGAGAAGCTGCAGCAAGTTACCCAGATGATCTAGCTCAGATCACTGGTGAAGGTGAATACACCAAACAGGAGATTTGCAAAGTAGAAAAAAAATAGCAAATAGCTTTATATTGGAAGTAGATGCCATTTAGGACTTTCATAGCTGGAGAGGAGAAGTCAATGCCTGGCTTCAAAGGTTCAAAGGCAGGCTCTCTTGTTAGGGAGGCTCTCTTGTTTCAGCAGCTGGTCACTTCCAGTTGAAGTCAATGCTCATTTACCATTTTGAAAATACCAGGGCCCTTAAGAATTACGCTAAATCTATTCTGCCTGTGCTCTGTAAGTAGAATAAAAAACCCCAGATGACAGCACACCAGTTTACAGCAAAATTTACCAAATATTTTCAGCCCAATGTTGAGACCTACTTCTCGAAAAAAAAAATTCCTTTCAAAATATTACCACCGTTAGTCACCCAAGAGCTCAGACAGAGATGTACAAGATTAATGTTGTTTTCATGATAAAACAACATCCATCCTGCAGCTAATGGATGAAGGAGTAACTTTGACCTTTGAAACTCATTATTTAAGAAATACATTTTGTAAGACTATAACTGCCATAGATAGTGATTCCTTTGATGGATCAAGGTAAAGTAAATTGAAAATCTTCTGGAAAGGATTCACCATTCTAGATGTCATTAAGAACATTCGTGATTCATGAGAAAAGGTCAAAATACTAACACTAACAGGAGTTTGGAAGAAGTGGATTCTAACCCTCATGGATGAAGTCGTGGGTTCGAGACTTCAGTGGAGGAAGGCACTGCAGATATGGTAAAAGTAGCAGAAGAACTAGAATCAGAAGTAGAACCTGAAAATGTGACTGAACTGCTGCCATCTCATGATAAAATGTTAAAAGATGAGGAGATGCTTCTCCTATGGATAAGTGAAGAAACTAGCTTCTTGAGATGGAATCTGCTCCTGATGAAGGTGCTGTACACATTGTTAAAATGACACAAGAGGTTTAGAATATTATATAAGCTTTGTTGATAAAGGGGCTGTAGGATTTGAGAGGACTGTCTCCACTTTTGAAAGAAGTTCTACTGTGTACAAAATGCAATCAAACAGTACCACTGGCTACAGAGAAATATTTCATGAAGTGAAGAGTTCATCACTGGCAAGCTTCATTGTTGTCTTATTTTAAGAAATTTTCAGTGACCCCAACCCTCAGCAACCACCACCCTGATCAGTAAGCAGCCATCAACATTGAGGAAAGACCCTCCACCAGCAAAAAGACTGTGATTTGTTGAAGGAAGACTCAGATGAGTGTTAGTATTGTACCTATCAAGTATTTTCAGATGAAGCTATGTATACTTGTTAGACATAACGCTGTTGCACACTGAATAGAGTACAGTATCGTATAAACATAACTTTTATAGGCACTAGGAAACAAAAAAGAATGTTAATAAGACTTGTCTGGGGAGAGAACCTGCAGGGAGGGAAGCAGGGCTGGGAGCTAAATGCAGAAAGAGGCACTGCTGGAGGTACTGGCTCCCACCTCGTCAGAAGAAAGACCTATCCCTGAACTTCATATTTACATGAGCAATGACTGTTTTTTTTAAAAAAATCAAGTAACTTTACTTTGAGTTTCTGTGACTTGGAACTGAGTTACCTGATACAAATTGTCATGTATTTGCTACTGGATAGAAGAATATAGATGCCCCAAAAGAAACCACAGGAATCAAATATAATATGCCTCCTACAGATGTGCAATTTTGTATTCTAATAGCTGATGGACTGTTGAAACATTACATTAATAACCAGTGAGTTCTGTACTCTCAAGTCACAGCTAAACTGTCAAAGGGTATCTCATTCAGTATTCCATCAGAACTCTCTGAAGGAGCAACATGAATTTTCAGAGGGAAATTTGCACACTGGAATGAATCCTAAAGAGGAAAACCAAAATGCAAAGAGAACAATAATTTAAGAAATAATTCAGGTTGTAGCTTTTTCTCACTGCACATCCACATTCTGCCCCAGGCCACAGACCCTACATTCCCCGGGACACTCAATATTATTACTGGAGAACAGAGAATGACCTTTCATTTATCTCTCTGTAGTTTTGCACTATTCCACAGCTTTGTGACATTGCCCCTTTTGCTTCTTCTCGTATTAGAATTATAATTATAGGCTCATAATAGTGCTGAACATTGTCATGGAAATGATGGAGATCACAAATAAGAGAGCTAAGCTCTATCACAGTAACTCTGACCTATGGAAAAATCTGGATAATTAGGCTCTCCTTGCAAGAGCAAAGAAAATTGTGTGCTGTGAAGGCATAAATCCTTGCCTGGCTATTGCAATAGAACAACATAAAGAATGCGATTTGCCATGTTTTATTTTTTAAAAAATTATTAATTTCCTACTTTATTCCAGAAAGGATTCAGGTGACTTGTGAAATGTATATAACATAATGGAATTAAAAATAAGGAAGACAAAGATCAACTCACAGAAAAAAAAGGAAACCAAGAAAATAGAATCAGGAAAAAATACCCCAATTTATGCCTCAAGATCCTATGTGCTTGCCTAAAATGGGCCATCAATGTGCCTCAAATCTCCCCAGCACACAGAGTAAAAAGAGAAACGCGATCCGCCACATGATTCAGAGCTGATGTGGAAAAAAACCAATTGTTTGGGAAAAGCAAGATTTTTGTCCTGGTACTGAAATCAGCGGGAAATTTCTTCCACCGGATTCTTATGAAGATAGTGTTCTGTAATGTGGTGAACCATGGGTCCACATAAAATAACTCTAAACACAGTAATAAGTGGAACAGGACTTTTTTGCATGATGTGCTTCAGGGTAGGCTGAAGGCATTAAAAATCCAATTTCATAGAAGCACTGCCACATGGGGCAAAGCAACGAGACTGTGCATCATGCTCACGGATGAACTTTCTTCAGAACAGGATAAATTTAGAGCAGAGCACGAGGTGAATGTTCTTCAGGGACGACTTCACAAAGACGGGCTCACACACACAGCAGCAAGTACTCAGTAGGCTTCTCCTATGCCTTTGGCTCTTGCCAGAAGCCAAGGATTGAGTGGGAGAAGTCAGCACTTGAGTGCTTAACTGGGCTTAAGATCTTCATAAGGAAGCTGTCATGTTAGGACAAGTCCCTGGACGGACCCACACTCTCACAATTCTACACGTTCACCCACAATATTCCTTATTCCTGGAGCACCACCTCTGTCCTCTTGTCCATCACTCACTGCTCAGGTTAGTGCAGGGTTCCCAAACCCAGAGCAGTTTTGCTCCCCTGGGGACACTGGACAATGTGTGGAGACAGTTTGGGTTGTCACATTTGGAAGGAGTGCTGCTGTCATCTAGTGAGTTGGGGCCAGGGATGCTGCTAAATATCCTACAATGCACAGGACAGCCTCCACCACAATTACCTACTGCAAAATGGCAACACTGCTGAGGTTGAAAAACCCTGGTTAAGACTGATGCTCCCTTCTTTAAGCCTTCCCCAAGCCTGGAAACTGAGGTGGGCAACCCCCTAGTCCCTTACGATAATAACAGTTAACACTGATGTCATGCATACTCTGTGCCAGACACCGTTCTAAGTGTCTTATTTTCTTATTTTTATTTTTTGAGATGGAGTCTCCCTCTGTTGCCCAGGCTGGGATGCAGTGGTACGATCTTGGCTCACTGCAACCTCTGCCTCCTGGGTTCAAGCAATTATCCTGCCCCATCCTCCCTAGTAGCTGGGATTACAGGCGCGTGTCACCATGC